AAGTGGCGTTTCCTCACCCAAAACAGACGGCGGGGTTGCCTCTGCCGCTCGCACTGGCGTGTGTGTGAGGGCAGACTGCGGCGCTGCCCACCAGCGAGCGGGGACCGAGTGGTGCGAGAGGAGGGCAGGCGATTTTTCTTTCCTTTTCCTCTTTTTTTTTCTTTCTCCTTCCTTCTTTGAAAATGTGGTGCGAATAGCAACTCGGTGTGGCTCCCGGGCCTGGAGAGGCGGAGGGAGTGGTGGGTCACGCAGGGCCAAATCCTGCTCGCCGGGAGGCGCCGGCAGCGCTCCTGGAGCCCCTGTGAAGCTCCTGGCCTCAAGTCTGTGGTTGAACGATTAAGGCATTTTTTAAATCGGCTTGCGAAATAAGGAAATTAGGACATTTCTCACCAAATCTATAGAGCCTGCCTCCCATAGAGAAGAAAAGCTCTTTGCCCTCCCCCTTAAAACAAATATGACATGGACTTCGGCAGGAGCTTTGCCAGCGATTTCAGGACATGCCCTTTAATGCAGCAGTAAGCTGTTGAAGATTAAGTAGTTAGGAGATTTTTTATGAACTTTTTAAAATGAGCATGGCCTCCTGAAAGCATAGCAGCCTTTACCTAACAGCTCTCTCCAAGGGGGTTCAAGATTGTCCCGAGCTTCTTTGTTTGACAAAGAAGGCACTTAAACTTTTAGTCTGGGAGCTGTGTTTCATACTTTACTCTCTGCCTTTTAAATAAACCTTTACATCTCACTTCCTCCTCTCAGTGAGCAGCCTCTTACTGATAACTGTTCTGTTACCTTTAGGTCGCTTTCTCTTATTAGGAAGCTTTAAGAACAACAAAGACAGACAACCAGCATTCGAAGACTATGGCCAATGGAACTGTATTTTCTTCTTGGTTAATGAACGTGTCAGGTGCTAAAAAAAAGCTGAAAAAAAACGGAGAAAAGCCCTTCCTAGTTTCGTCTCTGATGTGCTCGTAACTGAAAGATTAAATTGATTTCTGGCTAAGTTCATACCAATGCAATATTCACAGACTGGAGAAAGAGCAGAGAACAGAGGAAACCGAATACTAAGAATCCAAAAGAAATGATGCTCCAAAAAGATGAAGAGACCTCAAAACATGTGGCCTTGCCTAGACAGTGACCACATATACGGGTGGAAGTGGATGTGCAGCATTCCACACATTTTTGCATTGTGGAAAAATATTTGACTATTAGTTGGGCTATAGGACACTTACCATCAGGTGAAAACAAGGGCTTGTGGATAGGCAGCTACAGCAGAGCTACAGCAATAACTGCATAGATAGTGATACAGCTGCATTGCCACGATGTGGATGCTGTCACACCCGTAGATCACTTCAGCTTACTTCCTTCAATTTCAAGAAGTATAAAAATTATTCAGGGACCTGCTTTAAGAAACTGCAGTTTCATGTTGAGTAAGGGTAAAAAGAAATAGCAAGGAAGGGCGATGCAGTAGGTATTTATAGATTTTTCTCAGTTGACACCTTTTAATGGCTGTCACTGAGTTACACCTCTGCAAATCTACTGATCTCAGTGTTCTGTTTTCCCGCTCTAGTGGAGCAGCCTACTGGGTTTTTAGGGTGATCACTGAAAACTCCACATCCCCTTGCAATATGTCACCCCATTTTCTTGTTTTTAGTGCCTGCAAAGGCCCCTGAATGCGCTTTCCTGGGGACCTCAGTCAATAGGCGCTGCATGTTGGTGCAGTCCTCCCGTTAAATGCATGAAATACTCTCCCTGCCAGCTGTCACTACTTCATAGGTGACAGTGGAAAGACAGGAATACCTCCCTGGGCTACATCGAATCCAGCATTGAGGGCTGTGCAGCCTGGTGATAATGAGGAGGGTTGAGCAGCACCCGAAAGAAGATGGGCTGCAGGCAAGAATGAGCCATGCAGTTGAGAGCCTCACCCTTAACTCTTTCCACCTTTACTGGCTTCCCATGTGAGCTCAGGCACTCCCGACAACTAATTCAATTAACAAAAGGTGTAAATTAAAACTGACTGCAAACTGCATTGAACCTCAGTTTGCATACTTCTGTTCACAACGGAAGTGGCCTCAGTTTGATTTGAATTAATTCCCTTCCGAAATAAAATAACACTGAATCGAATAAAAGCAACTTTAATTTTGAATGGATGTCTACGTAGAACTGTTTGTGGTTTAACTTATCCACTTTAAAAATTAACTCTGTTCATTTTCCTGGGCTTTTCCATCTCACCTAGCTTACTTTGTCTCTCTATTTTAGTCTCCTATCAGTAAAACGGAAATAGTAATTGCCTGCTAACATTTTTAAGTCCTTGTGTTGAAGGGGCTTGGTAATTGCAGCATTTTGACTGATATTCAGTGTACATGTTATGCAAAAAACAGGTCTTGATTTCCTACATACGTGCAGGATTTTAGCCTGATAGTATTTTACGAGCTCTGTACACAGTTGTACATGACCACGCAAGACATACAGCAGTGGAGAATTAGGGCCTCACTGTGCATTTTAAACTTTCACTGAATATCTCCTTGGCTTTGGCTCTGTGTTTTCTTTGAAGACTACGGGCCAAGATTTAAGAACGATTTAACTTTAGTCGTCTAAATGAACAGCTTCGGTGATGTTAACGGGAACTAGGGCACTTCCTTTATGAATGGAAATCAGGTCACTTAATTACCAAACAGAAATGTACAGAACCTAGTCTCTAGTCTAGTTAACAAAAGTCTAGTTTTCTGCACTACACCAACGATGAACTTTAACCTATTTTAGAGGTAGCTCTACTAAAATTGATAGGGCTGTACCAAGGATAAAATTTTCCCATTTTAATGGAACTAAATAGAGTACTTAGTCGTAGAAATGAGCACATAAGCCTGGCTTTCTCACTGAAAGTCATTTCTGTTTAAATGAATTTTCCAAGTGGCATAGCACGGTTTGACTAGCACATGCTGTTAGTAACTACGGGAAAGACTAGATAAACACACTAGGTGTTGAAAGTGGAGAGCTTGTAGAAATTTTTTTATCAAAACTTGGTGAGTTTCGGACTGAAGGAATTCTTCCCTCTTTCTTTTCCTTTTTCCTACTGCCTGCTTTCTGCAACATTTTCATTTATTTCTTAAATCTTTTCACTCCAAATAGGTCTTCTTTGGTGCTTTTCAGTTGCCAAGAACTGGAGAACTGTCATTATTTGAGCGCCATTATTTTTTTTGAACTATTTTCCAGAGGGTTAGGAAGGAACCAATTTTCAGTGAGCACTAAGGAAACAACGGTGATGCTAGCTGAGCTTTTATTTGTGCAGAAAAATAGTCTATTATCTTCAGGCTTCAAATCTAGCTGTTAATAAAAAATTACATCACCTACTGCTCTAAAAATACTCCTATATATAGACTGTGCCTATAATAAGAATAAGCAACTCTAGATATTCCGGCTAGATACGTGGTATTTTAATTCACTTCCTCAGTAACAGTAGTCATTGTTGGCACCTGGAAGTGACTGTGAAAATATAGATCCTTGTAAAACTAGGTAAATAACAGGGCATGCTGCACATCTGTTTGTCAGTAGAAGAAGTTACAATCTGTAGAAGAAGACAAATATCAATGAAAACATCTTCCAAATCTATCCTATAAATCATTTAAGACCAAAATGAGTACTCAAAGAGGAAGTTGGACCTGAAATAAGCAGGCACAGGTTCAGTAAGAAGCCAGAGCTTTCTACCACAGAAGAATCTATGTTAGGATCTTAAGGCTGAAAAGGTAAACTATTTCTCTCCAGACTGAAAGATTTAAATACTGCTATGAATGTGAAGGAGAAGTGAACAGTTATTTTAAACTGCCATAAGCTCCTTTTTGTCAATGACTGCCATTTTCCTTGGGAGAGGAGTTACCTTCTTTCTCTTGGTTACGTTCAGGTCAATCTTGTGTCTTGCAACTGCCTGTACTTAAAGAAGTATTTCTGTCATTTTTTACTTAATAATTTTCACTCGATCCTGCTGAGCTTAATCTGGAAGGCCTGTATTGACTGCGTATGACTTTTGGCTCAATAAAGAAATCGAAGACATCTCTGTAAGAGCTGGGCCTAATTCCAATTTTCTTCTCTTTTCTTAAATGAAAGGATGCTGTCAATGTATTTTTGATTTACGGAGATAAACATATTTTTCCATTCTTCAAAATGTTTTATTACTTTAGAGGTATTTTAGCTTAAAATCTGACTGATTAATTTTATTGCTTATATCCTTTGTTTGTATGAGGTTGAAAATACATATGTTGTTTATATTACAGGAAAAAGAGATCAGACTTTCTCTTTGAGAGGAAAGATCTATCTCACTGAAGCTCTGAGTATTTTGTCAGACCAATTATCAGTGACTTTAAAAGTGTTCACCTTTTTTGTGGTGCAAGACGTGTAAAGTGTGTATAGACTGAAGCCTTTCCAGAATATTAGTTGCTTTCTCTTGCTTGGTAAGTTGTTCTGTTGTGTGATTTCTTTTTTTTTTTTTTTTTTTTGTCCCCATGGAATATGTTAACTAAAGGATATTTAAGATACTGTTAGTGAGAGAATGCTTTGATTTTGGTACTTATTGTTTCTAAATGGCTTTTGGCTCTTACCTTTGAAATGGAAAGAGGTTTCATTTTTGGACTCCATGTTACCCCATTTGCTGACTCCATTGCCGAACTTCTTGAGATGGTCAACACCACAGCCTAGAGCCTGCAATGACTTTGGATCCACAGCAAAGGAATGCTTCCACTTCTGAAACACCATGAGCTTCACAAGTGCTTTTCTGCTGGTGTAAAGGATATGATAGACACTATTATTTTATGTTTATTTCTTTCAGCCCCTATCTTAGTCCCCGTTGCTTTGCTTTTCACCGTGGACTCTTTTTTTTTAATCGAAGAATTTAACTTCCTTTTTTGAGGCAAATCTCAGGCCTCTGAAACTTTCTCTTCTGACTGATTCTTTCGTTTCATTACTCCTCCTTGAAATATTGGCCTCCGTGACTTTCTGTAAAGTCCTAATCCTCAATTTCTCTTCCTGTTTTTTTAATTTTCTGCTGCTCTTTATGAATTGTGCTCAGTTCTCCAACTTTGCTCCCTTCCCTTTCCCCTATCTATCTCCGCATAAAGAGCCTCAGGTGATCTTAAGGCCAGTGACTCCAGAACTTGCTTTGTAGTAATAACTTGTCCCCAGCCAGAGTTACTTCTTACATTTTTGATAGGCTCTCCCTCTTCCCACATCTCTCTCCTATCTTTGCCTTTACGCAGCCAAAGCTGTATGCTTCTTTGTTCATCCCTAACGCTCTTATTTCCTCTGCTTTCTCTGAAAGAGTGATGGTGTCAGTTCTTCCAGTCATGGTGAGGATGGTTTATAACACTGATGGCTTCTTTTTTTCCATAGACATGAAAGCTGGATCCAAGTCTGGTTATCAGGTCTTCCTCCAAAAGCATAGAATAAACTGACTTTTCTGCTAGATAAACAAAACTTTTATTCAGGCATCTGTCTGGCTTCCCAAACACGTCTCCTGTCACAGCTTCTGGGCCATTAGAAAAGCTCAGTTCATCTTTCTGGCTAACAGCTCTGGCCACATCACTCCTGTCACTTGCTCTGGCTCCTCATTTCCACTCCGCTTGAAATTCCCTGTCTTCACCAGCATGGCCCTTCCATAGCCCTGCCTCTCCCCTGTCTTTTCTCATACCATATTGTCTCCTCATCTCTTCCGCTAATCCTGCAAAGCCAGACTTGCCTGCCTTCCCTCTTTCTGTGCACATAAAGTGCACATTTGTGACAGGTCTTGCAGATAACAGAGTTTGTGGTGGTTGTGCGGGGCTCCGAAAGGCAAGCGTGCTAGACAGTTGTCTGTATTACATACTTAGATGCACACTACTTATTTTCCAGGCTCAGTAGATGCTCCCCAGTGCAGACTAACTCTAGTATTTTTCAGATTATATACTCGTAGCTCTATAGTACATCTTCTGTCTTACCTTTATATTGTTTCTTGGCCTAAACACAGGGCCTGTAAAAGCCAGATGCTCCCAGACCTGTCTGGTTTGTCCATGCCTGTAAGCAGACCTCTCACCTTTGACTCTCTCTTTCCATTAGCCTTGGAGCTTCTGAAAGCTGCGAGCCCCACACGGAGGCACTTCAGAGCGCTTGGCTTCTTTGTGAGGTGACATTTCGGAGCAGTGGCACTCAGGCCCAGTCGTTTGTCCACCTCTGCGGATGACTTGGGTTTGCGCAATCAGTGGGGATTTTTCATCCCTGATAGGGGAATTCCAGGCATTGACTGCAGCACAGTTGGGTCTGTCAGGGAGGAGGTGAGAGGGACGAGCTCCAGAAACCTCCCCGCTGCTGTCCTGCGTGAGCTGTGGGTGGGGAGGGGGAAGTGTGGGGAAGGTGAGTGCATGGGGATGTGGTGGTTCAGGTTCCTAAACAGGGGGCAGTGCCTGAGAGGATGAAATGGACGGGCAAATCTTCCTGCCCTGAGACAGAGCCTGTTAGCAATGAGAACAAAAAAAAGTCTTCATTCAGGTGTTGATTAAGGAGAGGGAGTAGTAATGGGTCACCCAGAGCAAGTGCCGTGACAGAGACCACTGGTGAATACCTGCCTGTCTGAAACAAATTATTACCCATGTGATGAGTACAAGGCACTTGGATGCTCCCCTTATAAAGCCAGGTACCCAGTAGGACTCGGTTGCTCAGGCAGAGTTTCACATCGTATGCTGCTTTTACTGTGGTTTCGCAAAGGCCCAAGTCCTTTGCTATATGAGTCCATGGACGCACCTGAGTAGTCCCTTTGAGGTCCATCACTTGGGTGATTTAACTGATCAGTGTTTCATTTGTTCCATACAAAAAAATAGCATAAATAATATGTATTTCGATTTTCAATACAAGTCTTCCGAATTGGTTCTCCAGGAATCTTAGCTATCTGCTCATTAAATGGATCTTAGATAAAACCACAGCTGTAAAGAGAGAAAAGCATCTAACAGACCAGATGCAAAAAAGAAAGGTCAGCAGTGTATTATGCTCTAGGTAGAAATGCCTGAGGGAATTGGTGTCTCGACCATTTGTTTCTTCTGTACTGATCTTAAAATGGAAGTAAACAGACTACTGTGAGATGCTAAAGAGAGCATACAAGATTATTTACAATTCAGAAGATCTGCCAGCAACACTGAGGACAAGACTGTGACAGAAAGGAACCTGGAAAGCTCAGAAAATAGATTAAATTCGGGGAAAATAAACAAACCAGTTCACCTGGTAGAACACAATCATAAGGTGAAAGAGGAGGAATGGGGGACCATTCTAGCATACAGAAGGTTGCAGGGTATTTCTAATGTAGCAAGTCTGTAAACTGGCTAATGTAGCTCAGCTGGTCAAATGGTCATGCACCTAAAGGGCAGACCTATACAGATATCCAAGGAATAATACTTATAGAACAACTTATCACAATTATTCCATTGTAAGAAGATGACCACTGAGACTGCTATGAAAGTTTTGGAAGAAAGAGGACAGCCTTCTGTTGAGTGTTTCATGTTATCTTCCCTCCATTATTCTCAATGGTTTAAGGTTGCTCTTGCTCTTACCAAGAAAGCTTAATAACTGCTAGTGATGCAAATGCAGCATTTGGCCCTGGGAAAAGGCCCTTCATTTTTCTTCATGTACATAACATTTACCCTTTCTACGCGCAGCCACTGTTCAGCGTTCCAGGGCCTCAGGTACCAAAGCACACCTAAGAAATAGGTCCAAGCCAGTAATGTTGGCATGTGACAAGGTCAATTTATAAATATATACGTGTATTGAAATGTGAAACTACTTCCCCCTGCCAAAACTTCAACTTCAGTGTCTTGCTTCTGAGAGGATTGATGTGCTGACAGAAACAAACAGTCATGGTGCATGTTAAAGAGCTAAAGCAGGAGGTAGAGTCTAAAGGGAATATGATGTAGGAAGTAGAGCAGAGATACAGGAGCAGGAGTAAAATAATATTTCAAACAATATCTCTTTACAGGCCACATTCTTTTAATCCAGGCAGTTTTCCAGAAGAGGGGAGAAACAGGTTTCTGCTGGACTTACAAAGTGGCCAAAGACCCAGTGCAAGTCCCCTTTTTTCTATCCCCAGGGCTGCTACATGAGAAGAATTTCTTCTACAAGTCATAGTCTTTTGATTCAAAACATGCCTTATTATTAGAAGTTTTACATGCTTCAGACTCAAACTGGAAATATACATAGAGAAAAATGTTGCGTAGTAAGGGAATAGAGTTTCATTTATACAAACAGTAGTAGTACAAACGGTACCTGTCCACACACCCGGTGTTGCTTGCTCCTTGACTTCCGCTTCATTGTGGCTCTTGAGAGCATTTGCTTTTACGCCAATATCCCTCTCCTGGGCTGCCTGCATGGAGCTCTTGATCCAGTCTATTAAGTGGGGCAGAATTTTAAGCCTGTCAAAAACAATGGAAGAACCTGTTGAGTTAATTTTCAGAGTAGTCAGTGTTGCAGTTTTGGGTTGGCTGGACTTCTTATGTTTTGCTGGGGTTTCATGTTTACTGGCAAAATGGCTAGGGAATTATTTCACAGGGTCATCTAAGGGAGAAAAGAAAACATCTTAACAGAACACATTCCATCACTTGACTAGCTTTTAAAAATATCTTTTAATATTTGTACGTATATTTGTGCTCTACATCATACACAAAATCATAATGGAAGAGAAAACACATCACTGACATCCTTTTTCCTACATCATTAAGGATCTTGCCCAATAAAGACATGTTGAAACATCTCTTGTAAGAGATATTATGACTCTGAGAGCATAAGGAGTAATAAGCACTTGTTCTCAAAAACAGTGCAACTGATCTGCTGCTATTTTATACATAAGTAAGTTTGAACAGTCCATGGAATGTCTTAGCTAAAGTCCTCTGCTGCCTTAGTAATAGGATTTTTTTCACTGACTTTTGTATTAGTGCCCCTACATAATGCATTAACCATTAAGTAATTAAATCCTGGGTCCAGTCTTGTTCAATGTATTCATCAATGACCTGGAGGAAGGGACAGAGTGCACCCTCAGCAAGTTTGCTGATGATACAGAACTGGGGGGAGTGGCTGACACACCAGAAGATGCACTGTGCTGCCATTCAGAGGGACCTGGACAGGCTGGAGAGCTGGGCGGAGAGGAACCTCCTGAAGTTCAACAAAGGCAAGTGCAAGGTCCTGCCCCTGGGGAGGAATAACCCCAGGCAGCAGGACAGGCTGGGGGTTGACCTGCTGGAAAGCAGCTCTGCCGAGAAGGACCTGGGAGTCCTGGTGGACAACAAGTTAAGCAGGAGGCAGCAGTGTGCCCTGGTGGCCAAGAAGGCCAACGGTCTCCTGGGGTGCATTGGGCAGAGTGTTGCCAGCAGGTGGAGGGAGGTGATCCTGCCCCTCTCCTCAGCCCTGGGGAGGCCTCCCCTGGAGTACTGTGTCCAGTTCTGGGCTCCCCAGTCCAAGAGAGACATGGCACTCCTGGAGAGAGTCCAGCGGAGGGCTACCAAGATGATTAGAGGGCTGCAGCACCTCTCCTCTGAAGAAAGACTGCAAGAGCTGGGCCTGTTCAGCCTGGAGAAGAGAAGACTGAGAGGGGATCTCATCAATGTGTACAAGTATCTGAAGGGGGAGTGTCAAGAGGATGAGGCCAGCCTCTTCTCCGTGGTGCCCAGCAAGAGGACAAGAGGCAACGGGCAGAAACTGAACCACGGGAAGTTCCATCTGAACCTGAGGAAAAACCTCTTTCCTGT